TGCTCTTCTTCTTCTCTAGAGGGGAGGCTGACACCAGTGTTTGTATTTATAGCCAGACCCCAACTCCTGGGGTATGCATTACACTTTTCCAAGAATGCTTGAGCTATGACAGTATAAAGCAAAAGACCCCATTAGCTGGTTTGATTCCCGGCTGCTCCCTGGCCACCGGAGGAGGGTCCTGCATGGCGCACAGACCTCTCCTGCCGCCCGCTGCTCCCCTCAGCAGTGTACTTTGGTCCTTCTGCCTGCTCTGCTCTCTGCTCTGGCTCTGGTGAATTCTCTCACCCTCCTGTGCTTCTGACTGTACCCAGTGCTTGTATAAATTAAAAAAAAATAAATAAAAGATTTATTTATTTATGCATTCAAGAGCCAGGGTACAGGCCAGAGGTGTGGGGGGTGAGAGGACTCACCAGAGACAGAGTGGGGGAACAGAATAGGTTGATTGACTGAAATACACTGCTGAGGGGAGCAGGGGACAAAACAGGAGAGGTCTGCCGCTCCATGTGGGTATTGCCCTGGCTGCCCGGGGATTGAACTCATGCTGCAGAGGCTGCAATTGCTTCATAGTGCGGTGCTTAACCCCTTGCACCACCAGGGAGGCCCTATGTACACTTTATTCTAGCACTGTCTGCTGAGAGGGCTTGAAAAAGTGACACCCCAGCAGCAAAGGACATGCTCACCCTCACAGCCCACACCTTCATTGCTAAGTATCATTCTCCAGTCAAAGGATCTAGGCTCCTTTGAAAACTGACTGATTCTGGGATTGGGGTATGGGAGATATAAGATGAGCCCAGAACATCTTGCAGTTACAAAAATAAATAAATGGTCAAAACCAAAATAGAACAAAATGAAACTAAACCCAAAAAATGGATGGGGTTTATGTCCATAGGACATAGGCGTTCATCCGAAAGAGATCCCAATAGCCAATACTGTACCATCTCGAGTCGCAAAATAAATAATAGTAGCATTGTATTATAACCCAAAGGAAATAATATTCATGAGCCTATATAGATATAAACAAATGATTGAATAAATATGTAAGTGGGAGAGAAGCTTCTTCAGAATAATGTCAAGTAATATGTGTAGACTCTCCCTCTTACCAGGAGATGGAGCTTAATTTCTCTTTTCTTGAGCATGGGCTGGGCTTGATGATTCACTTTCAGACAAGTGAGTATGGGGCAAAGATAACTTGATAGTGGAGAAACTTGGCAGGCATCTCTGGAATCAAGTTAGTTAGTTGCAAAGGAAGCTAGGGAATGTAAGCATTGCTTAATACTAGCAATGGCATATCATGGTAATAGCATGTACCCCTGAAATGATGTAGTGAAAAGGTCACTTCACCCCTGTGGTATTCTCCCCACAAACACATAAACTCAATCTGTTATGAGAAAACATCCGAGGGGGTCAAATGGAGGGATTGTCTGCAAAATAGCTGATGAGGATTCTTCTGAGGGTCAAGGTCATGAAAAGCCAGAGGAAAGACTGAGACACTGTCTCCAGTGGGAGGAAGCTAAGGCTACGTGGTGATTAAGTGCAGTGTAGCCTCTTAGATGGGATCCTGGAATGAAAAATGAACATTTTAGAGGAAAAACTGGTCAGATTCAAGTTACCGGTCATCTTCCAGTGTTTGCTTCTTAATCTTCACGAATGTAGCACAGTAATGTAAGATGTTGACGTTAAGAAAAGTGGGTGAGAGGTTATGGGAACCTACTATGCTACCTTTGTACCTTTCCTATACATTTGGAATGATTCCAAAATTAAAAAGTGAAACAGGCCAGTACTATAAAATGGTATACACATGGAGGATTTCATTCTCTCTCATGTAAGCATAAGATTCCGAGGTAAGCAGTCTAGGATTTGCATGGTGGCTGCATGATCATCAGGGATCGGGGTTCTCAGGTATTTCTGGTCTACCATCTTTAAGGACTTCACTTCTTGGTTCAAGATGGCTGCCAGAATTCCAGACTTCCTGACTTCACCCCAGAAAGCGGGAAGAAGGAAGGTCACAGGAGGATTGGGGTCCTTTTAATTGACTCATTTCCCTTTAAAGGTCCTTCCCAGACCCCCAAGGAGCAGGGGGATTCCACTTCCACACCCAAGGAGCAGCAGTATTTCCACTTCTACCACACTGTCTGGAGCATAGCGAGTTAGTCGCAAAGGAACTAGTTGCAAAGGAAGCTAGGGAATGTCATCTTTTTCTGGGTGTCCTGTGCACTGTTACAAAGGAAGGAATGCATAGAGGCAAGACATCTGATAGTCGTCGTCGTCGTGCTTTCTGTTTCTATGCTTCAGGTGACCTGTGTCTTTCCTAGCTCAGTGGTACCTGTGGGAAGGCAATCTCCTTTGTTTTTTGTTTTTAAAAAATATTTATTTAGGGGCCTCCCCTGGTGGCACAGCGGTTGAGCGCTGGGTTGCGAAGCTGCCCGCAGCCTCTGCAGCACCGGTTCGATCCCCGGCTGCCGGGAGAGGGTCCCACATGGCGTGCAGACCTCTCCTGCCTCCCGCTGCTCCCCTCAGCAGTGTACTTTGTCACTCTGCCTGTTCTACTCTCTGCTCTGGCTCTGGTGAATTCTTTCACCCTCCCATGCCTCTGACTATACCCAGTGCTTTTATAAATAAATAAATAAATCTTTAAAAAAATATATTTATTTATGCATACAAGAGCTGGGGTACAGGCCAGAGGTGCAGGAGTGAGAAGATTCACCAGAGACAGAGTGGGGAACAGAACAGGCAGACTGATGAAATACACTGCTGAGGGGAGCAGTGGGTGAGACAGGAGAGGTCTGCTACTCCATGTGGGTATCTCCCTGGCTGGGGATTGAACTCAGGCTGTCGTGGTGGTAGCGCGCGTCTTAACCCCTAGGACACCAGGGAGACCCAAGGCAGTCTCCTTTGAAGGCACCTCTGGATCCTATGAGAATTCTCTTGCCTTTCAGAAGGGAAACATTGTAACATGAGGGCCAGACTGACAACTTAAGTTCCTTTGTAATTGTTCCATAATAAACTATAATTTTCTTTTGTCATTGACCAGAACTGTCCTTTGAAGGCCCTAGAGACTGAGATAAGCTCTTTGTCTTTCCCCTTTACGTAACTGAAGAAACAATCTTTTTTTTTTTTTTTTTTTTTACCATTTTATGACCTGGAAAGAGTGTAGTTTGGGGGGTATCAGTATTGAGAGAAATGCCAGAGAAGTGGAGGGTGCTGGGAAGCCTCATGGTCCTGTCCTTGGTCTGGTCTTCCCATGCAGGATCTGCCCTCTGAGGGCTTCTAATTTTGGATTGTGAACTGGCTCTTGGCGTGAGGCGCGTTTCTTCCTTTCTTCTTTTAGACTCCTCAACCTCATGAGGGTTAACCTACTGTCCTTACTCCTATTCCAATTCCAGGTAAAACTTGGTGAAGTTACTGTTATTTTGGGGAGAGGAGTGAACTGGGTAGGGGAGAGAGAGAGAGAGAGAGAGAGAGAGAGAGAGAGACTAGTCTTAATTTGTTACAGATTCATTAAAAGTATTTATCTCCTTGGATTTCAGTAGCCAGGTAAAATCCACCCCTTAATGAGGAATTTCACCCTCTACTGATTGGTATGCAAATCTATGCAAATAACATGCATCTCCTTCTGGGCTTTTCTACACAGGTTTTGTTTTTAACAGGATTTCTACACTGGGCCAATTCTATTGAGTAGAAAAAGCCCTTTGCGAAGGAGATTTTCATATTAATAAGAACTGCCATGGATGGAGTAACTGGCACTTGATGTATTTATTTATAACCCTCCAACATAGAGCCAGGCAAACTCCAGACGGACTTTGGAATCGGAGCCCAGGTTTGCCTACAAAGCCGAGGACTATTAGAGCCGTGACCTTAAATAATGCCCAGACCTGTAGACAGAGCATTTCACTCTCAGAGCCAAGTTCAGATGCTAAAACGTTAATGCCAGTTCCTTGTTTTCAGTTGTAGGAAATTTACAGAGTATGTGATGAGTCTTTTTAGAACAACGTTTTCTTTTTCTGATGACAAAATAACAACCAGCCCCAGACAGATACAAATGCAAGTTCAGTGTGAGGGGCCGGGTTTAAGTCCAGGTCTGCCCTTCCCAAACATGAGAACCAGCTCAAGGGGCTTTTTTTTTTTTTTTTAAAAGATTTATTTCTTTTTATATAAGAACAGGGGTACAGGCCAGAGGCGCGGGAGGGTGAGAGGATTCACCAGAGACAGAGCAGGGAACAGAACAGGCAGACTGACTGAAATACACTGCTGAGGGGAGCAGTGGGTGAGACAGGGGAGGTCCGCTGTGCCATGTGGATTGCTCTGAGGCCAGCAGGGATCGAACCAGCGCTACAGAGGTTGGGGATAGCTTTACAGCACTGCACTCAACTGCCTGAGCCACCAGGGGAGGCCCATTTTTTCTAGTCTTTAAGTACATGTATGCATATAGTTAGGATACCTTGATCTTTGGTTTCTCTTTTGAAGCATCTTTGTTTTTTAAAATATCTGTTATGACTATCAAATGTTACTCTGATTTTGAAACCCTCTGACTGTAGCTTATCATTGTCTACCACTACAATTTTATTTTTTTTTAAAGATATATTTATTTATGCAAGAACTGAGGTACAGTTGGAGGCGTGGGAAGGTGAAAAAATTCACCAGAGACAGAGCAGGGAGCAGAACAGGCAGACAGACTGAAATACGCTACTGAGGGGAGCAGCGGGCGAGGCAGGAGAGGTCTGCCGTACCATGTGGGAGTCTCCCTGGCCAGCCGGGAATTGAACATGCACTACAGAGGCTGTGGACAGCTTCACAGTGCTGCACTCAACACCCTGTGCCACCAGGGAGGCCCTCTCTAGCATTTTAAAGCAAATTGCTGACATCATGTCATTTGATCCCCACATATTTCCAAGAATGTCTCTATAAAATACATTTTCTTATGGAATACACCAATATTCTGTTTTCTAAAGATGGCTGCTGTAACAAATGGTTTGAAACAACATATATTCATTATCTTACAGATCCGTAATTTACAAGTCCCGTCGCACTGAACTGAAATCAAGGTTTGGGCAGGACTGCAATTCCTGTCTGGAATTTGGAGGCTCTGGAGACAAATCTCTTTGCTTTTTCCAGCTTTTGGAGAAAATTCTTCCCTCCAACATCCAGGTAACTCCAGGGCTTGGAGTCCTTTCCTTCAGTTTCCTGTGTCTCCTTTTACGTAATTTCGTGATGATATTGGGCCCACCCAGATAAGGGGGTGTAGTCCTAAACTGACTAGAGAGAGAAACCCTTCACTTCACTACAACCTTAATTTCATGTAAAATAACTCACAGGTCCTGGAATTAGGGTGTAGATGTCTTTGGGGGCTATTATTCTGCCCACCAAGATAGTAATACTTTCTTAATATCATCTAATAGTAGGTCTACATTTTCCTCCTTACTGACAGAAAAATGTGTTTCTACATTTGTTCAAATTAGGACTGAAACAAGGTCCACATTGTATTTGGACATTATGTTTCTTAAATCACTTGATCTCTCCTCTCCTCTTACCTACCCCCCCCCCTTTGATTTACTGAAGAACTTCAGCCGTATTCTGGATGTGTCTGAGTGTTTCTTCCTAGTATTGTTAATTTGTTCCCTCAGGCCCTGATCCTGATGTTTGATCTGAACTTGGGTAGATTCATGTTTAACTTTTTTTTTTTTAAATAGGAATACTTCACATTGTGTTGCATTGGGGCATTCATAGCATCTAGTTAGCTTACTTTCAGTGAAGCTAAATTGTGACTTCCCAATGTAGTTGTATAGTTCCCTGTCAACCTTTTTCTTAATAATTTTAACATTATTATTTCTAGTATCAAATATTTTATTTTAGTAAGAGTTGCAAAATGGTCATCCTTTGTATTCTCTTTCGATTCACTTTTTTTTTTTTTTTTTTTTTTTAAAGATTTATTTATTTATTTACACATTCACTGGGTCCAGTCAGAAGCGCAGGAGGGTGAGAGAATTCACCAGAGCCGAGCGGAGAGCAGGACAGGCAGATGGACCGAAATACACTGCTAAGGGGAGCAGCGGGAATGGCAGGAGAGGTCTGCGTGCCATGTGGGACCCTCGCCGGGGATCGAACCGGTGCTGCAGAGGCTGCAGGCAGCTTCGCAGCCCAGCGCTCAACCGCTGCACCACCAGGGGAGGCCCTCGATTCACTTTTTTTTAAAAGAAAGATTTATTTTATTTTATGGGGCCTCCCTGGTGGTGCAATAGGGATGAGTGCAGTGCTGTGGAGCTGTCCACAGCCTCTGCAGTGCAGGTTCGATTCCCGGCCGGCCAGGGAGATACCCACATGGCGTGATAGACCTCTCCTATCTCGCCCGCTGCTCCCCTCAGCAGTGTACTTCAGTCCTTCTGCCTGTTCTGCTCCCTGCTATGTCTCTGGTGGATTCTCTCACCCTCCCATGCCTCTGGCCTGTACCCCAGTGCTTGTATAAGTAAATAAAAAAAATCTTAAAAAAAAGATTTATTTATTTTATTTATTTATGCGCACAAGTGCTGGGGTGTATGCCAGAGGTGCGGGGCCAGGGGGAGGTGAGAGGATTCACCAGTACAGAGTGGGGAGCAGAACAGGCAGATCTACTGACATATGCTGCTGAGGGGAGCAGTGGGCAAGACAGGTGATGTCTGCTGCACCATGTGTGTAGTAGCTGCCTGGCTGGGAATCGAACTCAGGCTGCAGTGGCTGGCAATAGCTTGATAACACTGAGACTTTACCCCTGCGCTGCCAGGGAGGCCCTTCCAGTTCACTTTTTTTTTTAAAAAATCCATTTTTTTAAATTATTTAAATAGAGGTATGTTTTATTTATTTATTTGTTTGTTTGTTTGCTTGTTTTGTTTTATACATGCACTGGGTACAGTCAGAAGCGCGGGAGGGTGAGAGAATTCACCAGAGCCAGAGCGGGGAGCAGAGCAGGCAGAAGGACTGAAGCACACTGCTGAGGGGAGCAGCGGGCAGCAGGAGAGGTCTGCACGCCATGCGGGACCCTCCTCCGGTGTCCGAGCAGCCGGGGATTGAACCGGCGCCTCAGAGGCTGCGGGCAGCTTCGCAACCCAGCGCTCAACCACTGCGCCACCGGGGAGGCCCCCCTTCCAGTTCACTTTTATAATTTTCTTCCCTCATTAACTAGGACTATTTGGTTACCTAGATAGATAGATATTCAAGATCGGTATGGCTCATTTTCAGAGTAAGATGTGTAGCTTAAACATCTTTCAGAAGTTTCTTATGCTGGTGCTGTTTTTTTTTTTTTTTACTACTGGCACAAACTCATGGATTTTTATTTGTTCCATATGTTTTAGTAGGTGCAGTGATAATTCTTTTTGATAATTGCATACTCTAGAGCCATTGAGGATCCTTTTATGTGTGCTTTTGAAATGACACTGTTAGTCTTAGATAACCTCTTTGTCTCTGCATAAGAGGTCCCAGACTTTTCTTTCCTCAGACCCAGAACCTGCTATATTTGCATGATGTCTGGTGATGCTGTGGGGAACGGTGGCTAGAAGCCACCACCTGTGCTTGCTCTGTGTTCCTGTTCAGACTTTGCCGTTGTTTCTAGAGCCCCTAGGTAGCCAAAAGGAAAATAAATAATGAATTCCTATTGGTAGCTATAATCAAATTGATCATTCCAAGGCTTTTGTACAACCTCTTAGATTTTATTATTTTTAAATTGTTTATCCTGTATCTTTCTTTTAAAATGGAGTAACATTGGCTGACAACACGGTATAAGTCTCAGGCTTATAGCTTCACCCTGCAAACGTCTGTTATACCATGGCACATGCCCGTAAGTGCACCCTAAAGGTCTGCTTTCCACACACTACCATCCAGTCACCCCTCTCTACTTGCTCCAGCTCTGTATCCCTTCCCCCTCCTCTCTCTTAATAATGAAAAATTTGATTTCTAATGTGAATAATATAATTACTTATTTGTTTTTCCTAATTAGTTTCAAGGTAATAAATTAAATACTGCTTTTAATATTTCTTTACAGCTCTTTCTGTCCTTTAACTTGCTTCACTAAGTGTGTACAGTCAAAACCTTTATTCTAATGGTGGCTTTGGTGGTGGGGGTATTGTGGTAACACATCTGAAGAGGTGTGAGCCTGTACCCCTAAATCATGTACAGTGTTTTAAACCAGTATCGCCCCCATAAAAAATAATACAATTTAATTTATCTCCCCTACCCAAGACCCAGGTTAAAAAAAAATAAGAAACAAAATCTGTATTCTAAAATTTCTTGAATAGTTTATTTCTCTGTGTATATAATTTCACCTCCAAGTTAATCTTCCATTAGATTCATTTGTTTTAGTATGTTTTTAGTTTTTTAATTTTTTTTCTCTCTTTCTTACTCTTTCTCCTTTTGGTTTGTGGTTTTCTATGTCTGTCTATTTATTTTTCTAATGTTATGTATATTTTTGAATAAAATATTCATAATGATTTTTTTGTATATATTTTTTGTATATATTTTTTTGTATATTTTTTTGTATATATATTTTTTGTATATATGATATATATATTTTTTTGTATATATATATATTTTTTGTATTTTTTTTGTATATATGATTTTTTTTTTGTATATATGATTCTAAAGTCAAACTCTTTAATCAAATGCACTAAGAGCAACAGAATAACCTTCAAGCTAGTGGGTGCCGTTCTTAGGAAATTTCATAGTAAAAGGTGGAGCTTTCTGGGTTCTCCCCCCTGACTTCCTGAGCAGACAATGCTGGGAATGAGGGGTGGAGCAGGGCTGCCATGTTGATATTAAAAGACTGAGGATGGCTGGGCCCCACCCTTGCTTTTTTGTCTTTAGCTCACAGTCTAGTCTCTGCTTACATTATTCTAAATTATTCCACATAGGAATTTCCCTACTCTTCTCTGGTGCTGCTTAGCATTCTATTGTAGGTGTGCTATAGTCTATTCAGTCATCTCCCAGTAGACACCAGTCATTTTATTTTACATTGTGAATAATGTCATGAGGAAAAGCATTATATAATTATTGTTTTGTGTCTTTTGTTAGTATATCTTTTATCCCTTCAGTATTTTAAAAATAAACTTTTTTTTGAATATTAGATTTATAAAAAAAAGTGAATATAGATCAGAAAGTTTTCATAAACTTCAACCTAATTTCTCTTATTGATAACATCTTATGTTGTATGGTGCCATCATTACTATTAATGAACCACTATGGTTACAGTATTATTATTTTTTTTCAAAGATTTATTTATTTATATAAGCACTGGGTACAGTCAGAAGTGCGGGAGGGTGAGAGGATTCACCAGAGCCAGAGCGGGGAACAGAACAGGCAGACTGACGAAATACACTGCTGAGGGGAGCAGTGGGCGCAGCAGGAGAGGTCTGCGTGCCATGTGGGACCCTCGCCGGAGGCCGGGGAGCGAACTGGCGCTGCAGAGGCTGTGGGCAGCTTCACAGCCCAGCGCTCAACCACTGTGCCACCAGGGGAGGCCCTGGTTACAGTATTATTAACTAAAGTCCTTTCCATACTTTACTGAGATTTCCTTAGTTATTATTTGGTATCTCTGTTCCAGAATCCCGGCCAGGACAGCATGCTACATAGGGGTATCATCTCTCCTTAGGCTCCTTTTTCTGTGACTCCTGGGTGTTTTATGACACGTTGGAGCTGGGCTTATCTTTTTCTTTTTAAAGATTTATTTATTTATGCATACAAGAGCTGGGGTGCAGGCCAGAGATGCAGGGGGTGAGAGGATTCACCAGAGACAGAGTGGGGAGCAGAACTGGCAGATCTACTGAAATACACTGCTGAGGGGGGCAGCAGGCGAGACAGGAGAGGTCTGCTGCGCCATGTGGGTTGCTCTCTGGCTGGCCAGGGGTCGAACTTGTGCTGCTGAGGCTGTGGATTGCTTCATAGTGTGGTGCTTTAACCCCTTGTGCCACCAGGGAGACCTGCTGGGCTTATCTTGACATCTTGGTTCTTGGGTCCATGTCTCATGTTTAGAAGCAAAAATAAAATATTCCAAATTATCAGGAATCTAGACACCATCTGGTGACAAAGTGAAAATTCTTTAAAGACTTTTTCATTGGGTCACTTTCTTTAATAGATAGCAAGAGACAGAAAGTGATAGCTGTCCCACGCAGATGAGTGCAGAGCAG